TTATCAAGCTATTGATTGATGAAGGTCAAGCTGATGTTACTGCTGCTTGTAAAAAAGTAAGTAGTTTAAAGTTTAGGAGTATTTAATATTAAAGTATTTTTCCACTTTACATATTGACAGCCTCAATTTAGTACCAATATGCAGCAATTAGTTTTAATATGTTATGATTATGTAATACAATGCTCATTTTTATGTTTTATGTAGTATCGTATCAATCCTGAGCTCTCTAGATCTGAAATTGCTGAGATACTAATCACTAAGACCCCAAAAGTAAGTAAAAAGTTAAATAACATTTTAACTTGCCAAAAATGTGATTTACAAAATAAAGTACTGTATAGTAGAAAAATTTGGTGGTCTAAAACTTTGGCGGTTTTGCATCAAAACTGTCTAAATATAATATTGGTGGTCTCTTAATTTGGTGGTTGACTATCTTGCCTTTTCTTTAAGCACTCTCAGCTCTTTTTGAAGCTGCACCTTGGCAGTCCTTGCCCACAGTCTTGACTCTGTGACTGAAATAGTGAAAAATACTGCCATTTTTAGTATGATGGAACCTGCCCATAATAATTGCAATTATTATTGACGGTTATAATATTGGCGGTTTTATTTTGAACCACCAATCAGCCAAATTTAATTCTCCGCCAAATTTTCCGGCTATACGGTATTTAGTCTTTTGTGTAGTCTATTTGGAACAAATTTCTAGTTTTTAATTTTTTGGTGTCTTTTAATACCGGTGTAGCCTGTTATTTTAATGATCAAATCAAAATCAAGAGGTCAAGTGATTATATACTAGTTACATACAGGTTAAAATCAACACATAAGACTTACTGTAGTAAACATCAAGATCAGAGACCAAACCTTTTTATATCAAGATTAAAGCATCAAGAGTGTCAAGTTTTGTACATCAAGGCATCAAGGTCTTAATAACCAAGATCAAAATTTTTGATTGCAGTCACAAGTGAAACAACAGGCTAATACGGTAATACCTATGCATGGTTTAGCAGTGCAAGTCATTTAAAAAGAGACCCTTTTAACAAGTTTTGTGACTCTTTATACTCATTGTATAAAAATGTATGTGAAAATGCTCAGCAAAGAAAATAATTACCTTAAGGAGATCGTTATTTTAGCAATTTAAAAATTTACTAACTTAAATCCATGCTAACTTTAATTTCAGACTGAATTATTAATAATTATTAATATTAAATGATGAAAACACTAAATTACATTATAAGTATGAGCAAATTGTTAGTATCATGAAAATCGCTAAAATAATTACAGGCTAATAATTGTCTCCTTAAGGTACGTGTAATGATGTCAAAGTTTATAATATCAAGACTATTAACAGAATTTTATTTTTGTCATAATTACAAGCATGATTTACACCATGGTTTCAAAGTTTTTGACCCCATTGACATCATAGTATTTTTGGGCCATAAGAAATTGAATTGGGCAAATTGAGTGCCAAATTAGCTTATGAAAAACATTATTTACACCAGACTAATCTTGGTGTCAATATTATGAACAAGGTCAAGTCAGAGCTTGCATGGAAGAAAAGTTCAGTTTTTAGTCCTTTGCTATAGGTTTGACTTTCACAGCTTTTATAGCAATTATATTAATAAAGATGAGTTTCATCATTTTAAAATTATCATCTATAAGTGTGTGTGTGTGTGTGCGCGTGTGCCTTATCTTGCTGCAAGAAAACTTGTGCTGTTATGATTTTTCGCATGTTGCTGGTTGCCATTTTGCTGCAGGCACACCTACTTTCAATAGAAATATTGAAATTACCGTCTATCTTGAAATTTTTACTGTGATTTTACTTTTACTGGATTAAAATTTTGTAAAAATTAGATCACCACTAAAATTACATGCCACATTCAATAATACATGACACAGTCTTATTTAGTAAAAAGTAAATCACAGCACAATTTTAAAACTCAAAAATTTTCTACCGCACTAATTTCCTGATTTATGGTATATGTGCATTGTACCTTTTCTTACAGTTCAATGATTGACACATTTAAATGTAATATGAAAACAAAGTTTGATGTACACTTGATGGCACACGCATACTTTTATGTATGTAATATAAACACAATTTGAGAAAAACCATTATGAAGTTGTGCTACTCACAAATTCTATAATTTTTCATCACTGTAAAATTACAAAATTGCTATAAATAAAGAAATTATTACAGTATAGGTAACTTGAATTCCTGCCATTATACAGAAGTTTCCAATCTCTTCCATTTAGTCTAATATTTATGACTCTAGCAGTGTCTGTCCATATATGTCACCCCTATTTATTTATATTATGGTACATACTACTCATATTAGCAAAACAAACGTCCTTGC